AAAGGGAACCAAAGACTAACACCTGCGTAACACGAGCTCTTTTCATTTTGAGCCACACCCACTTAGCTTGTCTTTTTGTGTTTTGCCTTTGGGGTTCATTCATTTTGTCTTCCCAGCAAAAGGTTTAACTTTTTGGGTGTCTCAGTCTGGCCCAAAAACCATCTACGCTCATGCGAAACGTGGCCAGGTATTTCTCCGTCATGGGAACCCTCTTGCCAAAAAATCCGATCAGCTTGGTCTTTGGTTTCCATCATCGACGAGGGATCGATTTGTTGAGAACAACCCGACGTTTAGCGTAAATGGCTTCACCCGGCATGTACGCCGATGTCGAGGTTTCCAGCCATTTCTCCACTTTTCAAGTATGGATTCCCAATGTCCGTGGAGCAGTATCTTCAGGTGCGTTTTTTTTTCTTCTCCGCCGTCAAAAATGGTTGGTGGACACAAATCCGAAATTTCCATTCGCGTCGAATGCGGTTTGCAATTCCATACGGTCTATGGGCATCTGAAGAGGGCAATGCGAATGATTCCAAATGCTGAGGTGAATTTTTCGCGCCATCCGAAAAACAAAGCTCTCGCTTTTTGGTCGAGTCGGAGCCCAAAGGAGCCCAACCATCAAGACTTGAAACCCAAGTTTGATCGGCGGTCGCGAAGCTCTTCGCACGGAAGCCATAAGCCAGACATCTTTTGGTGGCGGAACGCGGGACGGGCGAGAAGCTCTCTGTCTGGGTTGATAGGGTTTCTGATGGCTTGAGCCCGTAGGCGGTTTGGCTTTTGTTTTCTGTCGGCGCCCCTCGCAAAGGCCACTTCACGCTTGGATAGCAAAATTCCCTTTTGAAAAGGGTGTCTTGATTTTTTTCGAGGGTATCCCCTTTTTTTTCGGGGGCAGGAAAACGGATCTGGTGTTTCTTTTTTCCGCTAGGGCTGTTTTTTGGTTTACTAGTGGTCGGTTGGTTGGTTGGTTGGTTGGTTGGTTGGTTGGTTGGTTGGTTGGTTGGTTGGTTGGTTGGTTGGTTGGTTGGACGCTCCAAATCCAATCGTACCACTCAGCAAAACACGTCATTCGCCAAGCGCGTCCAAGGCCGGGGGGGGGTCACCTGAAAAACGACGCGCTCCTTGAGGCCCCAGAAAAAGGGGGGGTTCACCTGAAAAAAGACGCGACCCAAAGGCATTCCTCAAGAGGAAGAACTGGGGCCCTGTCCATCGGCCCATTCCGAGGAGAGTGGGCTCCGGGACGGCGCGGTGCTCTTGGCGGGGCTGCCGCTGCAAAGCGCCGCTCGCTTGTGTTTTGCGGGGACGCGGGACTCGGGCGGCGTGTAAGTTGGTGGCCGTTGGAGTGCCCCAGGCCAGACAATGTGATACAGGAAGAGTCAACCCCCCCAAAGCATGTAGGGTTGTCTTGAGGGGACCCTTCTTATGTGGGGGGGCTTGTCAAAATGGAGGACCACCTTTGGTTGGCACTCAAAGTACAGGCATATCCAAATATTAGGAATTGTCTTTTTGTTTTTCAAATGATTGGGGAGATCTGCTGTTTTTTCGGGCTCACCCAGGAAGAGCATTTCTTGAGTCGTTTGTGAATCAGAAGCCAAACCAAGATGGTGTGCATTTGGTACTCCTCTGCAAAGTCGTATTGCAAACTGGGCCACTCACCGAGGGAGTGTCAAGTGGCTTTGGAGTGGCTTTTTTCCCAGCTGACTTAACGAGGCTCCGGGCCAGGGAGCCTTTTCCGAATGGCTTTTGGAAAGCCCCCTCTTGGTATTGGAAGGGACAGCAACGCCGTTGTCATTTTAAGGGACGATTCCTATTATTGAGAATCTACCCTCCCTCCCACTAACATAGCACCTGCATGAGGGTACCTGGAAGATCAATTGCCTCTTGCAGCGACCCTCTGTGAGGTGCTATGTTAGTTGGAGAGAGGGTGAGTAGCCTGCCCGACCGAGGTAAAGACTTACCAGCCGGCGTGCTTCAACTTCGCGGATTACAAGGCCATCCAGCCGCTCGGCGGGAAAGGAGGGAGAGGTATTCCACCCCAAAGGAGAAGACGTGCGTAATCGTTAGGAAAGCTGTGTACAAGAGCAATGTAAGGAGGAACAGGAGCATGGTGCGGCTTTGCTCTAAGATTAGAGATGAGTACCCCTCTTTTGGATGATTCCCTTGATTCCCTTCAGGACAAGCACACAAACGGATATTTCTTCGAAGCGGAAGTCAGGTGATTCGGAACTTGGCTGTTCTGCATTGGCTCTGGGCGAGCTCAGCGGCTCCCTTTTTTTTTCTTCTTCTTTTCTGTTTGGCTTCACTAAAACAGGTCCACACCAAAAGGGTGCCCATTTGCTACCAGTTGAAGGGGTTTCTGAGCCACACGTACGCACGCGGAAGTGCGCCCAACTCCCAGGCCCTTCTTCCGGGAGGCTTTGCCCTCGTTGCTGCGGGGAGCCAGGGGCTGAGTTGGGGCGCAGAATGCCTCGCATGGAAGCTGACAGGAACATCCATTGGCAAGAGGCGGCTGCACTGTGTGTAGGATCCCATGCACCACGAAGTGTGTTCTTTGCGCAGCGTGATGTTTTTTGTTCACTCCATGAGCAATAAAATGGTCAAGCAAGCAATGAATGGTCAGCGGCGTGTCAAAACCGGGTGGTTTCCCTTGACACCCGCACCAAGGCCCTCCCAACTCGTTGGCTCGTGCCGCAAACCGTTTTTATGGCCTGGTGGAATTCCAAACAGCAAACCACAAGAAGCGGGGTACCCTCGAAAAGACACACCCCTTTTCGGGGTGGCCACCTATTTTGGAGGTCCCCTATTTTGAGACAAGCAACTACTGGACAATTTTTTCAACGGAGCGAGCCTCACATGGGGCGGGAAGCACGCAAGTCCAGTGTTTGAGACTTGCATCTTGAATGGGTTTGTCTCTTACGATGAACCCGAACAAATTGGGTGAGTTTCATCAAAAGCCACCGCGTCCAAGAAATGCAACATGAAGGGGATGGGCTTGTCGCAAGATAAGGGCCCGCCACAAAAAGGGGCCACATGCACGACGGCCGCAAGCCAGCTGGTTCAAAGTGCCCTCTACCCTCAAACAAAGATGGCCACACCCACATAAGGATCCCTGTGGATAATTTTTTTGGATCAGATGCCGCGAATCCCACTCTGCAAGGATGGAATTGCGGGGTTTGGAACTTATGCAACAAAATGAATAAAGGTACCTTTTCATGGTGGTTTTAAAGGTAAACCAAAAAAGGAACGCCGAAGCCATTTTGGGGGTGCCCTAAAAAGAGACAACCATGTCTGGTTTCATTTCACCACAAAAGGGGGGGGAACACTAATGGACATGGACATGGAACCTTTTGCCCAAACATTCACCACGCATTCAGATGTCAGCAATCTCAAACACTTGGATTTGCCCGATTCGCAAATCGATTGGAGAAGTTCAGGAGTTCGAATCGCGAATCGGCAGACACATGATCGGTTCTCTAGGGCTTGGGGTTTAGGTTCTCCAAATTTGGAGCGGGTAAATCGGGCTGGTGTCGGCTGGTGGGTTTGGGGAGAACCCTTCTTTCAGACCCAAGAAGGTAGGCGCAGCGAGGCGGCATGCTGATCCGGCCAAGGGATCTGGAGGGAGAGCTTACTGTGGATGGACAAATCCTGCACCAGTTGGGGTTGGTCAGGACAAGCAAGTTCAGTGTAGCATCCCTTATTGGACGAAGTTAAATAGTTTCAACAATTCTGTCTTTGCTGTGCGTTGACAAACTCGATTTTAGCAGGATTCACAGGACATCTCATTTATCCCAACTGCATCCATGTGTCCCCATTCGATGGGTGTTATCGCCTTTGAATGAAGGAAGGCGAGCCAGAAATCACCAACCTGGCTTCCGGAGCCAGGTGAGTTTTGACGCTTGCGGCTGCGCAGGGTCAAAGATATGTTGCCTGGTGCCGCCTCTTGGTGGCGCCTTTCAGACTTGTCACGAAAGCTAGCTTTAGCTAGCTGAAGTTTCTCCTTGCGTAAGCAAGGCAAGGGGCTCAAATGCCGAAAGATTGATTTTTTCAATTATTTGAGCCTAAAAGATTGAAAAACATCAATTATTTAGACCCCCCCCCCCTCCCCCCCCCCCACGGGTCTCAGGCTCGATTCCTCCCTGGTCCATCCCCCCCCCCCCGGGCAGTGGCTCAGTGTTCAGCAGTCTCGGTTTGCCCGTTTTGGACTTGGTGCTACGAACTTTTACATGTTCCAGCGATTCAGCTTGTTCATTTGAGACCTCAGTCTTCTCGGTAAACCACCTCGCAAGAATCTTTGCACACGCTGCATGCAGAACCCAGAGGTGCTTTAAGACAGCTTCTGACGCCTCTCGTTGTTTTCAGTTTTCAAGGTTTGCCACGCCACCATGTGCGTTTGCGTGTCGCATCCTACGAATCTTGCCGGGCCTCTCGTTGTACACAAGCTACCTATGAATCCACTCTGTCACCGATTGGGTGTGTCTTGAAGGTACCAACACAAAATGGTGGTTGTAAAGGGACACTAAAAGAAAAACACAAATATCCAGTTTGTGGGTACCGTCAATAAAGCCAAGCGCATAAAGGGGGGGGGGTTCCTTGGGGCGAGGGCTGTTTGCGGAGGTGTGTGCCCTTTGCGACACTGCGCCGGCCAAGAGGACCGGCGCCCCGGAAATCTGAAAGGCGAAACCGGAGAGGGTCCGGAGGATCTGGACGCGATCCCCAAAACGGCGCAACGGTTTTCCTTTTGGTTTCCCTTTTAAACCCCCCCAAAAAGAGGGTACCCTGAGGAGAGACGAGCTGCTGTGTTGTTTTCTGCAAGGAGTTGCAACAAGCGACAGAGGCTGAGCTCTCAAACAACAGTTGGAGGGTCTCGAACATCCCGAATGGTTTCACTTCCGTCGCCTCACCGCCATCCACCTTGTGGGGTGTACTCTGGGCTTGACACCGCCGGGTAAGCCGTCGCTGAGTCATTTGCATAAACCCCAACCAAACACTTGCTAGCCTCACCGGCTAGCCGAAATTCAATTCCACGGAAATCGCACGGTGTTCTTCTCGTAAAGTGACATCCTCAAAGTTTAACTGACTCTACATGGTGGTTTCAAGCTCAAGGGACCCGCGAATTCCCCCCATGTCCTCAAAATGGTCCGTGTGGAGCCAGGCCCCGGGATTGAGGAACAAGCCCGCCTGGTGTCCAAATCCCCCCCTCACCCCCCTCCCCCCAGACGGTTTACCGCTGGTATCCGCCTGCGCTAGGGTTCGACACCTTGTGACTTAGGAAAACAAGGGTCCAAACTGTTCGGTGACAAAGCAACGTGTCGCAGAAAAGCATCGACCACAGCACAGATGAGCAACTGACATGCTGTTTGGAGGTCTACTGTTCGTGCGGAGGGCGTGGGGATTGAAGCACCCAATCTTCCCAGCATGGAATGCTTCGAGGGGTCCCACATTGTGGCTATTTTCCTTTTGCTTCCCCTACCGAGAATTCCCTCAAAAAGAACAATGGGTTTGTCTCCAAATGGGGACCTCCCCCCCCAACGAAAAAATATAGTAAGAAACGTCGTTTCCTCTAAACAAAAGCACAGACAAACATTTGGTGTCTCAAAGAACAATTTTAACACACAATAATAAAAATAATTGGTGTCTCAAAAACCACCACCCCGCGAGGGGCACCCATCCAGCGGCCCAGGTCCTCGCCCACCGCGGCCCAGAAGGGAGCCTGGGCGCGGGCCTGAGCGCACGCCACGTGATTGGTTGACCTGGGAACGTCGTGGTCACTTCGTTGGTTTCAAGAAGCGAAACACGAGAACTGATGGTACAATACATGATGAGTAGATAGATAGATAGATAGATAGGTAGGTAGGTAGGTAGGTAGGGAGGGAGGGAGGGAGGGAGGGAGACAGACAGACAGACAGACAGACAGACAGACAGACAGACAGACAGACAGACAGATAGACAGACAGACAGACAGACAGACAGACAGACACAGACAGACAGTGCATTAAATTACATTAGACTACATTAAACTACATTACATGTACATTACATTACAGTACGTTTACATTTAAGTTTTTGTTTTCATTGCATTAATTACATGTTCGCCGTTTTCGTTTACATTACATTCCATTCCATTAAATTACATTTACGTTTACGTTTTCGTTTACATCATTACATTAGATTACATTACATTTACATTGCATTTACGTGACATTTACAGTACATTTACATTACATACTTTTACATACATTTACATTACATGTACATTACATTACATTTACATTACTTTGCATCACATTGAAACACATTACAACACACCACATGTCATTACATTTTAACAACAGTACGTACATATGTACAGATATAGATGCATGGTACTGTACTCCTGCTAGTTACCGACATTGATATCTGGGCCAAAGACGAGCATCGCTCCGAGGTGCTTAGCAAGGAGCTGGCCTCGCTCTGTCTAGGCTTGAGCTCACATGGGGGGCTGCGATTGGGTGCTGGCTTTCCTGACCAGTCACACAAAACTGGCAAGTCCTCAAGTCAAAAAGCTGGGTGCTACTGACCAATGGTTTGTTTCCGTCAAGCCACCAGATGGATCCTGTCCCGTCCAGGGTGCCTTTCAGTGGATCAGCAGTGGTTTCCAGCAGATTCTGCGCCAAGTCTTGGAGGGAAGCGTGCTCTAGCACGCGACCCTGATTTGCTGCAAATGCCACCCGTCACCCATCTGGCCCTTGGGCTAAAGATGCGGCGAGACCTCACACCATTGGTTCGAATTGGTCATTCGCTGATTTGTTTGACGCACACTGCACTGCGCATTGATCGGTTTGAGATTGTTGCCTGCTCGCTATCTGAACAAGTTCTGGTGTTCTCCTATATAGAGTAACTCAAGAGTCATGCAGCGCATGTCGTGTTTAGCCAGCACATGCAGTGGTTAGGCACGATTGTCCAAGGGGACAGTGCAAACTGTTCTATTTCTGCAAGTGGAGGATCCATGCCTCTTTGAGATTCATGTTTTACACCAGTTGGAGAGGAATTCGGCCTTGTCCTCCTTCCGCACGTGCATTGCCCCAAAATCTCCTTTCCGCTGTTCAGCCACGGCTTGTTTGGATTTTTGAGACCAATGGGCAGCCCATCAAAACCTAGCCGCCGTGTGGGTCACTTAAATCGCCCTGGGCCCTCTTGGCCTCCCTTGTGCCTGCGCAGTTACCAGACGTTTGAAACCTGTGAGTTCTCGTACGCGTCCAAAGGCCCAAAGGTGATGTCCATCATGGTTTGACTCCCTGGCCGTTGGCCGAAAGAGAGCCACTGAATGCTTGGACCTCCGTGTTGCACTGCATGCCCCAGCCATTGTTCAATCACTTCAGTCCGTGCTTATCATCCAATAAAACAAGGTATGTTGAAGCGGTCCTTTTCCGCACAAGGGTTTTTTCCTTCGGTTGATTCCCCAAATGTTGCAAGTAAACCAACTACCAGCCCATCAGGTTCTCTTATTGCCTAAATTCATTCAACTTTCGGGTTGCCCTAATCAAACCGCCTGCAAGGGTACCAACTCCAAAAAAGATGCCCCTACTCCAAATGCTACTTGTTTCGGGGCAGATTTTTGGAAGAACCAGGTTTTCCACTGAAAAATGCATTGCTTTTAGACAGGGATTGACATTTTGCACCATGAAACACGAGGGTTTTTGTTTGTTGGTTGTGGCCTGGAATGTTTTTTTTGTCGCGGTTTCAGCGTCGTCTCCCCTGAAACCGACGGTGGGCCAGCGAAGAGGTGTGGTGACCTTGCTCTCCTCCGCAGATTTGGCGACGGAGGACTTTCAGGCTGGAAGCTGAGGTGGAAAGAGGGCAATGCAACCTTCTAGGGGTCGATTCCAACCAAAAAACCAGCCATTTCCCCAGGGTTTTCGGTGGTTTTCTAGAAAGACAGAGCCCTGGACAGAATGGGGAAGTTACCCCTCGAAACCTGGATTGCTTGCATTTTCTCAAGACTTTTGCTTGTGTTCTCCACCTATGACTACTGAACTTTTCAAGGGACTCATATTTTCTCAAGACTTTTTGTGATTTCCCCCTGTTGGTTTTGAAGGATCTATCACTACCGATCATATGTTTCTCACCCTGGTTGATTTATCGGGGGGTGTTCCTGGTTTTAGTTTTAAGGTTGGTGTAAAGGGGAAGTCAAAGGAACATCAACAAATTTTCGGGTTTGGCCATTAAGTGAATGTACCACATCACTTGTCATCTGTGCCACGTTGTCATCCTGCACGGCAAACAAATGGTGACCCTTGCTCGCCTGAGTGAACTCCGAGCACTGCCTAAGCAGTGATGGCTGGTGTGCCAACCACCATTGTTCATTCTTTTTTTAAGGGGCGTCCCCTAAAAAAGACACCCCCATGTGAACTCTTGCTTGCAAAAAGTTGCTTTGCCGAGTCGCGGTTTGCGAGGTGCTGATTCGCACAGTCCGGCACATTTTGATCCTCTCCGCACCTCGGCAATCGAGACCGATCCGGAGGATCTCATGCCCCCATGACCTCGTACCCCCCCTCCCTCGAAGTTCCCACTTTGTCTTTCTTTTTGCTTTTCTTTTTTTTCCCTCCCTCGAAGTTCCCACGGTTTTTACTTCTTTTTTTCTGGGCACACTTTGAATAGAGGGGTTTTCCATGGTCGATGGTTGACATGAACCCCAAGAACTGGATGGGCATTTGGGATCTGAGGTGGGTCTTTGGTTTTAGCCAAGGCGCCCTACGCATCTGGATCTGAGGTGGATCGTTGCCAAGGCCCCCCTCCCCGCCCCCCCACCCTCAAAAACAGGGCATGTGAGGCCTTGCCTGATGATTTAGAGTCAACGGGATACGGATGAGGTAGGGAGGGGGGGGGGCACGGGGGAGGGGGGTTATGTGTGTATGTATATGTACATACTATACAGAAATCTTTAGAGCAGCTTCTATGAAGGAGCATAGATTGGTGAGATCTTTATGAGGATAGCGCCATTCTGGGGAGGGGCACTCATGGGCTATACTTCAGCTTTCTTCAAGATCAAATTGAATTGCGGTCAATTTGGGACACATAGTGATTGGATTTGCAGTTGATGTTCACCAAGAATAACGCAGGAGCAAATGGCTTGGAGTTCTCTAAACAAGGCAGAAATGTACCGACCAACCAGAAAGCTAGCCAGCCAGCCACGCAACCAGTGTAGCGGACCAAAAGGGCGCCAAAAACCTATAAAAGCAGGGTGCTCCTTTCTTTTTGAGTTACATTGGCTTTAGCCTTTCACGAAACAGTGGTTGGATTTCTTGGCCCGCCAGGAAACCTCCGGGCAGGATGTTCACACGGTTTTTGGCATCGGCAAGCTTCTCAGTATGGGAGAGTTTTTTTTGGGGTGGTCTTGAAGGAACACCAAAAAGGGGAACAACCACCTTTTTTGGGTCCAAATCCTGAAAAGACGAGCCCATTGGGTGCTTTCGGAACTGGGGACTGTCAACGGGTGTATGATTTTTGAGGGTGCCCTCAAACAACCTCGGTTTTGAACCAAACACCAGTACTGGAGTCCTCCTATCCCTCAAACGGGCAGGCCCAAGCAGTGGAGCAAGATGTGGTGCGAATCTCAGCTTTTGGGCGACTTCCGAGCTGCGACGAGTGTGCCGATTCCTGTTTGGTCCTTCATTTCTTGCGCGCCTTTCTTCACTCCTTGCGCTACTTGTTCAGGATCCAAGCCTTGGGTGTAGTGCGTCGTTGGCTCTAGTAGGATCCCTTCCATTTGCTTGCCACATCTTGTTGTGAACCTGATTGTGTTGATCCTTGTTTCAATTTTGGGCTGTTCTCCAGTTGTGGGTCACTCCATTGTTTGTCTCTCCGTTCTGGTCCGCTGTTGTTTGTCTGATGACCTGGAAGGGGCTGCCTACATTGAAAAACAACAACAACAAAAGCAACAACAACAAAAGCAAAAGCAGCACTCATTTGTAGATGTGGACTTCGGCCGGCGAGCTGGGCCTTGTTTTGCCAGCAACTTCTCCCCTGTCGTCGGTTGTGAACCGGTGTTTGCCGATTTGAGGCCATCGTGAGTCTGGGCACCTTCGTGGACGTCATGGGCTGTGCCAGAGACTGAAGCCGCTACCTCGCCCCAAGCTCCGGTGCTCGAACTTCGCAGGAGCACCCGAACCCAGAACTTCCTCGGCCATTAAATAAATGTCCTTGGGACAACGGACATTTTTTGCTCGAGAAGGGACATTTGTTGCATCCACTATGGAGGCTCAATTTCTTCGAGTGCTCTCATCAGGGCACATTGACGATAGACAAACCATAGACATACCGTAGACATATCATAGACATACCACAGGCAAACCATTCGGGAAAACCATAGGCAAGCAAATAACCGCTACAAAAAGTACGGTGTAAGTCAGGGGTACTTGATTCCGCAGAAGGGGAAACACATTGCAAAATCAGGACATTCACATCAGGTCGAGTCGTAAAGCCGAGATTTGTTGAGCTCGTTGCTCGTTGCTTGTGACCGAAAGGGACCGTAGACAAACCGTAGACAATCCGTAGAAAGTACATTTTCTGCCGTAGAAAGTACATTTTCTGCCGTAGAACGGCCATTTATTGCCGTAGAAAAGACATTTTCTGCACATCCCGTTTTTGCACCATTTTGGTGTTAATTCGCGGCACGTGACTTCACAGGACTTTGTAGCTCTTTTCTGGCTTGGCAATTGCCAATATGCATGCATGGATCGATGGATGTATGCTGGACCAGTATACGCATAAATCAAACAAACAGTTCCCGAGCCGTGCCCCATGGCTGACGTTGGCAAGTTTCTGCAGAAGGCAGTGCGAAGCGCACGAAGCACTCTCAAGCTCGGCAAAATGGGACTGTGCAGCCCCAGCTACTTTTAAGTGCGATTTTCGTGAAAATCACGATCCAACCAAATTTAAGCAAAAAATGGCCTTTTCCCAGAAAATGTACTTTGCTACCTCGGCCATTTATTTAATGTCCTTTGGAAGTCTAGGGCGAAGGGGAAAAACCCCTTGCCCTCAATGGGGAACTCCCTCAAAAACGGTTGGTGGACACAAATCCCCACCTAACTGATGTCCACCAAAGGGTCCTTGATTAAAATTCATACCCCTGTCCCTGGGGTGTATGGCTTAGGAGTTTGATTTTGAAAGGCTCGCGTCCTGTCAGTGTACCCCAACATGGAGCCCCCCAGAAAGCTTCCAGGAAAATCGCAACGTCGGCTCCAAGCGAGGGTCTCAAAATGGATTTCGGTGCTCTTTAAAGGTGTCCCTTTAAAGCAACCCCCCAAAAGGGTACCCTCAAAAAAGACAACACCATCTTCCAGCAATACGGACGAGTATCCTTGGGAGCCGCGAGAGAATCAACAAAAAGTCTTCTTCAAGCAGTACCAGGGTTTTATGAGTGGCGAACTGTGGCCGTGTCGATGTTTTTGAAGTGGCTGGGCATCAAGAAGCGGAATTCCCAGAATGGCACCTTGGTGTCTGGAACAAAGACCAAAACATGGTTTGCCCCAGCTGCTTAATCTTGAGCCACACCCAAGTGGGTATCGTAAAAGCCTAATCATTTCGGTACAGCAACAGTTCATTGGCTGTGGGAGCGGGGTCCATTGGACTTGGGTTTGAAGGCTTGCTGCTGGACTCTCTGTTGATAGCAATCAACACCTGGTCTTAGTGTACCGAAGACTAAGGAATCTGGAGAGTGGATATATCCGCACCTGTTTCTGGGCTGGGTCTATCCCGTACGAAGCTTCACTTGCCTGCATCGGTTTTGATTGTGACTTGGGTTTATGCCAAGGTTTCGTACGCTGGTTTGAAGTGGGTTTTGTCAATCCACAGGGGTCAAGGGGTGGATAGAATACATTGGTGGGTGAGACATGGCACGATACGATAATTCAAGCGACATCGTCCCCTTCAAAGTAAACTGAAAGAAGGCTTGTCACTAGTGACTAGTGCCGCCAAACCCAAGCACCATTTGGCCTCGTTATTTTACCATGATCAAGGTCACCCTCTAATTGGTTTGTTCTTCGAAACAACCCCGTTTTCTGAGTTGGCTGTGGGTCAAAGCCAATGGTACCATTTCGGGGTAGGTGAATTCACCATCCATTTTAGTCGGGATTTTAGTGGGGGATTGAATCGGATGTTCACTGGGGGCTAACCGATTTGGATTTTGACTCATGGCCAAGTAGCTGTGGGTTAAAAATAGGGTAACCGCAGAATGGCTTGCCCTGGTAAATGGACACATGGACTAAAACCTGCGGTCCCATGGTCACATGACTCCCAGAAACCGACAAGAATAATGACCCCAGACCATGGCCTTGGCCACGAATTCAGGTTTTTTTGACCCATGGCCACTTTGATGACTCCCAGAAACCGAGAAAACCAGCCCGGCCGAATTCGGCCACGAATTCAGGTCTGGAAGGAGGTCTTCTGCCAGCCAAGGCGCCTTGCGCTGCTGCCGGGGCACCTGAACCGCGCGCTGGCTGGTGGACGGGTTTTCTGGGGCGAGCACGGACAGACACCTGTAACACTGTAACATGGGGGTGGATCAAAATTCCTGGCCCCAGAAAACCGCCAAGTGGCCTCATGATGTTCTCCTTTGTGGGTTCATCAAAAGGTCCGTAAACCATGGGGTGACCATTGGGGAACCCCCCCAAAAAGATGACATCATCCACCAAATGGGAAACTAGCCTGCGCAGCTTGGTGGACTTTTCGCCTCTCCTCTCCTCTCCTCTCCACCTCTCCACCTCTCCACCTCTCCACCTCTTTGGCAGCGTCCATTGGCGCTTCGTGGCGCTTTAGCCAGGGGCTAAAGCGCCAGGGACTGGTGGCCGCGCCCCCCCGCTTGGGGTTTTGGTTCCCTTGGTGGCTCCCATCCATCCCCCGAGCTTGTTGGCAACTTTTCGTGTTGAGTGGTGGGATTTCCGAATTTAACACACTAAAGGTTAAAAACTTTTAGCGGGGGATCTGAGGACAGCCCAGGTCAAAGGGAAGATTAGGGAGCCATTGGGGTTTGTAAAAAAGAAAGAACAAACAACAGGGAACTCCGCGAGCATCCATTTGGGGCTGCCCGCTTGTGTATGGGCTCAAAATATGGACTCCAAGAGATTGTGACTTTCTTTTTGGTTTGCCTACAAACCAACCTGAAAGAGGGTAAGATGATAAAAATAACAACACATGAATCTCCACCGAATTCTGAGGTCCACAAATGGCGCCCTTCAGCACACTCATTTGGTCGTGGTCCTTTTTCAGGGTTCGGTGTTCCTTGTGGTTTCCCTTTGATTCCCCTCCCCCCCCCAAAAAAAAAGGAGAAACATAAAAGAAGCAAAGGTACCCTTCAACCCCCCCCCCCCCCCCCCCGCCAAAAGAAAAAGGGGTACCCCGAAAAAAGAAAAGAAAAACGACCCGCCGCCCCCTTGCCGAGTCCCAACTTGATGGAGCTGATCCACGCCATCTCCGGCGCCCTGTGGACCAAGAGGCGCGCGCGTGGCGGGGGCGGGGCTCGGCAAAGGAAGGCTGGGGTCGAGGTCAGGGGTTGGGCGCTCCTGGCAGGGAGCATCGAGCAAGCTATTTTTATATAGAGTATTTTCCTTTTTAAAAAATACAAAGAGGGAGAGAGAGAGAGAGAGAGAGAGAGAGTGAGAGACAGAGAGACAGAGAGATAGAAGAAGTACAAGAATGAGACTAACAGCAGTCTTGCAGAACTATGAGACAAGGACATGCTAGTTGCGTTTGTCAAAGCCAAAAGACCCATTTGCCCTAACAGATTTTGACATATGATCTTCTCGCCTGGTCACAGTCCTGAGTCAAAACTTGTTTCAGTCGGCCCCATAAGCATCCGGAGAGACTCCCAACCTATTCTGTGCAGCGAGGGGCTGAGTGTCCCTTGCGATCGTTTCGGGATTCCCAGGTTCGGAGTTCGTTCCAAGCTCTTGGCCTTTGTATCCGGTCAGCGGCAGTCGGGGAGTTCGAAGTTCAAGCTCGGCTCCGAACGGCGTGCCAGAGGCTGCATCCAGAAGGAGTTTTGACAACACTCGGCTTGCCCTTCCCCCCCCCCGCCCCTGATGGAGGAAGAGGGTCTATTTTGAAACTGTTCAACACAAAGCCGAGCCCAAGGCGGTGCTTCATGCATGTTGCGTATGTTTTTTGGGATCAGGGAGGCTTTCGAGTTCGCCGGGCAGGCAGCCTGGGCTGACGGAAAAGCCGAGGCACGGCCCCGTGCGAGGGGTTGCCGGACATAGGGAGCTGCTGCGAATGGAGAAAAATCCAAGCCATGTCCAAAGGAACAAAAAAAGCAAAGGAAAGAAACAAAAACATGTCATTTGGAAGGCGCCTATTATTATTATTGGTTCAGTGTACCAAAGTCCCACTGGTCCTTTTTGTTATGGATACGGGATGCCAGCGCGTCAGGTTTGAGAATCGGACACCCACATGCGTCCCACCGAACATTGGGTCCAGATCCGTACACATCCCCCATCTCTGGCGGCCATAGTGGTGACAGTCAAGCGACTGGTGCGAATCGATTTGCGCGCGTTAAGCGCATTGAGGGTGCGAGGGTCCTTCGATCTGAGAAGCACTGCAGGTGTCCTTTTGATCGGTTTGGTTAAAACTATATGGGTTCCACTGGTTTTGGATGGGTTTTCTGCCCCATCTATGAGGGACACCCAACTATTTTCCAAAAGTCCTCCTATGATGGCAGGTTTAACATCGCAAAGGGTTGCCCTCCAAGGGGAAATCGTCGAATCATTGCAGAGCGAACGTAGAAGGAAACCACGGAGCCGACGCGCTGGTACGGAGCCTAACCACAGGCCTTCAAAGCGGACAAACTTTGCATAGCGCGGGTTTGAGGGCAGACGTGAGCACCGGAGGTCGCCTGAAGAGGGCGGTTTCCGTCCGTTGCTGGACCCAGTGTTGGGTGGAAGCAATGTTCCCTACACACCGGGGATATTGAGTTGCATTGGTATGCCGTGATGTCCTGCGCGCCCTAAACATATGTTGGGAAGCGAAAATTGGGGACGCCCATGGGATGCGTTCCTTTGATGTCCCTTACAGATGCCATCCGAAAAAGTAAGCGACCCTCCCGAAGCACCCAGGTCTTGGCACGCGGGGAGTGATTTCGGTCTCTCAACTCCATCCTTTTTCTGGCTCCGATTTTTGGCAGATTCTTCCTCAATAGTACATTGTGATGCGGTCTGGATTCCTTTTTTTTGCATATAAATAATGGATCTAAACACAACTTCGTTGTAGAGTTTTGACCGGGGAAGAACCCACCCTTGGTGGGCATCACATCCCGAATGATGTCCACCCCAAGACAACACCCGACGTCCAAAAAACAATGCTCGCCAAAAAAACATCAAGAGGCAAGTACCGAACAACGGCAACAAGAACAAGAACCACAACCCTGACCCTAAAACCACCAAACAAACCAAGGGGGGAAAGCACCAAATACTGTGGATGGTCGAATTCTTACACCACTTCAAAACCATGGTTGAAACCATTGTTTGTTGGCATTTACAGCAGAATCAAATCATTCCAGGGTTTCTTAGGTGGTGCGAAATGGATTTCGCAACCATCCACAGTACCTCCCCCTCCTCCCCGCCCCGGCCTAGGTCAGAAGCCGCTTCTGAGCTGCCGTGGCTGGATGGTCTGAGTGGAGATAGCGCTGAAGGCCACGGATCTTGGGGACTGCTTTTGGGATTTTGGTGTGGGTTTTACAGGGAAGCCAAAGGGACCCCGGATGGATGTCTTGGGGTGAATGCTTGGGGGTCTCCTCCAAACATATGCCAAATGAATCTAGGACAACTTTATGTTTTGGTTTGTTTTGCTTTTTTGTTGGGGGGGGGAGACATAGGGCCTCCAAAAAACACGCGAACCGTTTTTTGGGTAGGCTAGGAAAGGACAAAACAATCCGCCTAGAGATCATTTTTTGGAGTACAGTGGGCCAAGGGGAGAGTTCCAAGGACCGATCCACCCCCTGGACTATTCGTACTCTTGCTGTCACGCCCAGGGAGTAGCAAGGTCACAAGTGTGAAAAGCCGGTTTCAGTGGTGAGCAGCAAGGTTACTTTTTCTGGGCCTCCCGGAAATAACACTGAAAAACATGGAACCTCCAAGAGGCAGCTCCATCTGGGATAGTCTTGGGGTGCACAAATGCAAGCATCCAAGGCCTCTGGGTGGTTGCGGGGTTGGGGCGAGGAAAGCTCTGGAGGGTTTGAACGAGCTTCGCGATTCACTAGTATATAAACTTGTAATTCCCACCATTGAAGGGGTGTCCCATTTCTTGGGAACCCTCTACCAAGTTGGTTCAAGAACATAGCTGAGGGGCAGGCCTGATGACTTGAAAAGGACCTGGTCTCAGGATCCCATGCTTCTCATCATTTTTCTTCTCTCTCTCTCTCTCTCTCTTGCTCTCTTTCTTCTTCTCTTTCACATTTCACCAAGTGCAAAACTCCCCTGGTTTTGAGGGCAGTCAGACCTTGCAGGTGAAGGAAAAGATTCAATCAATTGACGCCAATTCCAGGCAATCCGAGCTCTTAGGCTCAATTAAGCTTAACCTGCCTTAACTTTTTTTTTTTTTTGGGGGGGGGTGCGTTCTAAGCGACCCCTCTCAGCTTAGAACACTCCCCCCCCCAAAAAAAAATTGAGGCCATTTAGGCTTAATGAAGCCAAAACGGCGCCTCACTACAGCTTCTGTCGCTTGGTGCACATTCTCTTTCGTTTCATTTTCATGTGAGAAAACGATTCATCTGCTTTTCATCATAATCTTCTTCTTCTTCTTCTGCTTTCTCTTCTTTTTCTTCTTCTCTCTCCTTGGTGGCTCCCAGCCATCCCCTCAGCCTTTTCGCGTTTTAGCGTTTAGTGGTTGCCACTTAACCCACTAAAGGTTAGTCACGTTTCGCGGGGGATCCGAAAACGTGCGGCATCTGAGGTCCGCGGACCTGAAAATCGAGCCATCAAAGCCTGGGGAATTGGAGGGTCAGGGAGACTCCCCTTGCCATAAGAAGGCCGAGTCCCCTTGCCAATGAGAAGGCTGCGGGTCTCCGGTCTCTTAGTTCTCGAAGCATGGTTCTGGGATTGCGGCCATTTTGTTGTACCAGGGTTTGAGCAAGTGACTCAATTCTGCCTCGGGCTTGCCCTACCCCGGGCCACCGGTTTCGCTCCAGGCGCCAAGAGCCGCGATGCCCTGGGCGCCTACGCCTTTCACGCCCGGGGGCCCGGCCTGGGCCGCGGATGGGATGGGCTTAGATCCACCCAGTTGGGCCCCCGGATGTAAGATGATCCTGCACCTTATTTCAGGTTGGTTAAATATTATAGTTCACCCAGATGATCATCATGATTGTTATCGTTATTATTTTGATCATCACTGGTATTATTATAGTTGATGATTTCATTGTTGTTAGAAATATGTTTTATTGTTATTGTCGTTATTGTCAACAGTATCATTAGTAGTAGTATTAGGGGGGTGTCGGGCCCCACAATAGTGACGAATCGTCACACGGAAGAAACACCCCCCTGTCAACCAGGCGTTTGTTTACGAATCCGGGGTCAACATTGGTCGTCCCGTTGAGTTGCTCACATAAACGGAATGATTCCACCTACTTCCACCCAACTCTTCCGTTTTGAAGACTGACATGCACTGGGTCCAAGGTGAACATGTGGAGGGGTTCTTCGAACCACCATTTAGAGGGACATTTTGAGGACACAGATTCAGGCTTACACGGAAACACAGAACCTTGCTCGCGAGTTTTTGGCCAAACGCCGAGAAAAAAAGGCGCCTGGCAAGCTGGCAAACTGAAATGGAAGACCTCTGCGATTTGCTGTGGGATAAGTTCAACAAAATCATCCGGGCAAATTATCATAGGGTTCCTTCAGACGTGGGCGCGCCTTTGTTGTAGGTGTACTTTTTGGGTGGTTTGTGAAGGGAAACCAAAAGGACACCACCATTTTTGGGTTCCCCCCAAAACGACAGGCACAAAGAATGCTTTTTTTTTTTGACCCCTTTTTTTTGATCGAATCTGCAGTTCCAATCACTAGTCCACCAGTCATGGACTGGCACAATGGTCAGGTGGTATCACCCCTCTCCATAAGATCCGGTCATCCACGAGAAGAAGCTGCTTGTGGTGTGGCTCTGACAAGATCGTCGAAAGACATATTGTACATGTGTACATAGACACTCTTCGGAGTCTTTACCTGCAATCAGCAGTTGCTGCCCCGAAATGGCACCGTTGCGCCTTTGTTTGTATGTAGCCGTTCAACCTTTCTCAGGATGCAGCGAAGCACAAAACGGGGAGTGCCAACATAAGACGGAACGTAGGCTGAATGTGGCTGTGGCTCAAAAAACCGGTCCCAAAATGGCTTGCCCTGGTAAGTGGACATACGGTTTCCAAAACCTGCTCCTCTTTAATTTTGAGAATTCCACACCCATGTATGAATCCGTAGAGGAACCGATCCGAAAACGGGCCGATGGCCTCCCGTGCCAATGCGGAAAACCGACCTAGATTCGTCCTGCGCAAGGCCATGTGTCCAGGCAACTTGTGCAAATGGACTTCAACACCCGTGCTGCTGGATGAACGCACACTCGATCGGATGCCGGCGTGTGTTTGTCCCACTTTTAGGGCCAGGACTATGCAAAGCTTTGAGGCTCTGTCCCTGAAGAGGTAACCTGGTTGCTCTTTGAAGGAGTACACTACTAGAATACACAACACCACGTCCCGGAGCTTGCTTGAATGAATGGGTGTAATACTTGCACAAGTTGGATTCGGCGTAAGGATAGACTTCTCCATGCCCGTGTGGTAAACCTAAAGGGAAACGATACTCAAGTGCTGAGAGCAGACTTGGGCATGGGCCACTGGTGAAACTGCTGTGCCATCTATCTTCGTGATAGAACCAACATGGAATAATGTTGACCCCATATTAATCAACCCCAGTTTATTTGGAGGGGGTGTTCCCCTCCAAAAGCGATGATATCCCACTAAAACCAGGGACAGCCCCCCTATTAATAAGCAGGGGTTGATTAATATGGGGTCAACATTAGTGCCAACAGTGTCGCCCTGGATCGGAGATCGGGGTGCAGGTGGTTGCAGCGACCCTGCGCAGCGACGTGTCTGAGAGCAACCTCTCCATGGCGCTGGAGGCGCCTCTAGCTGCCACCGCCTAAGATTGGTATGGTTTGGGGACTTTTTGGGGGTGTCTGTTTTGTAGGGGGGGGGGGGGCAAAATGGTGGTTTCCTTCTAAAATCACAATTGAATGGCCCTTCGAACCAAATTTTCCTATGTCCTTGTGGTTTCCTTTACAAAGGATCTGAGCATATTATCGGCTACTGATGGACAAGATCCGCGTCGATCGGCACCAGTCGTTCGGTGAAAACTGCCATCATTCATCATTTCTGGTGTGTGGTGTTATCCATCCCAACTGGCGCGAAGCGGATTTTGTACGTCCACAGTATTTTTGGTATTGGGATGAGAAAGTATCACGCTTCTTTCCGCGACCCAACATGTGGGGAAAGATGCCATACTGTTCTTGCTCACATGTGTTTCTTCGAGGGTGCCCTCTTTGGAAGGATAACCAACAGGAACTCGATGCCCCATTGTAAGACATACCCTTATGGAAAAGAGCTGGGCAAATGAAATGAAACCCTAACCCAGGATTGGTTGCCACCTCACCCATGATGAAGGTTCCCGTTTGCTGGTTGATAAGTTCTTAGAATCCGACCAGGAGTGAGGATCCTGAAATTTGCGAGCTACAGGTTCCAACACGCCGCCCATGTTTTGATGTCCGGCAAAGCAGAGGTTAAAATCTATGGTAGGGAAGATCCAGGATTGACTTGCGGAGCCGTTCTGGTGAAAGCATGTGGGAGTGTGTCAGCAACAACCCCTCAAGCTGCTTTTCTCCTGGGTCTTTGAGAAATGGGTATGGGTCAAGATTAAACAACCAGGGGACCGCAGGATTTAGTCCTTGGTTCCATTTGCCAGGGCTCCATTTAGTAAGGGGTTACCCTACTTTTGACCCACAGCCAAGGCGCGACGCTGCGCGGCGAATTTGCGAATTCGGAGTCGGCATCCAGCGTCGCTGGTTCCCGCAGGTCTTCCACTGGTGGCTCCGCGATGCCTTGCCAAAGAGCCCGGCGCCACGGAAGTCACAGCCAGTTGCCCCACGGCCCAGGACCTAGAATGTGGGCCTTTTAGGTTTCCTAAGCCAAGAAATACTGAAAAAGCAAGCAACAAACACGGTGGCGAAATTCTTCTGGCCTGGAAGTCTTAGCTTGAAAGCCATGAGAACATGAGGCGCCACCTTGCCAGTTTGTTTTCTTTTTGACTGTGGGTTGGTTTGGTTGGGTTGGTTGTGCCGGAATGCTGGTCTGAAGCTGTTGCTTTTCTTCCCGGTTGCCCGCTTGAAACGTGATCTTGGGAGGTGGAGGAGGGGAGAGGCTGTTTTCATCGATGTTTAAGATTCTACTTGAACACTTGCTGCAAACCACTGGGGGGCGGAACCAGCACATATATATATATATATATACATACATCTATATATACATACACGAAAACAATTGTGCTTATTACTACATCCCCACGGGCCGCGTCAGGGGTTCGCGCCTTCACATCACAAGCCACTTTTCACCCGTTTGCGCCCACTCCGTTGAGAAGGTTCTCAGGACTCTTCTCAGGTCTTTGAGAATTTGCACTTCTCAAAATTACTTTGAGCTCTCCAAAATTACTAGGTCCCCCAGATAGGTGCCCTTTCTCACCCCTTTTTTGGTTGGGAGGGTTCCCCTACTAAAATTGACTACAGAGAAAAGGGTACCCTTCTTCTAATCTCTCTACTGGAGGACCTAGATTAGACAGGTTGTTCCGGTCCCATGTTTCAGGTTGTTTGGATTCACCCAGATACATCAGGTAATCCCTCAGTTGGCGGTTTGACTTGGTGGGAACTGGGGGTTAAGAACCCCTGGTTCTTGTAGTGGGTAAATGGGAAAACCGTCCCCTCACCGCCAGTTCAACCCACCAATTAGAGGGGTAATGCTGCAAGGGTACTGACCTCTGACTCCCCCCCCACTTCTTGAGGGTCGCCTTTTTTACCGCAATGGCTCAAATAGATGAGGACCAAGATGGCACTCTGGCAAATGACACCCAAGACTAAAACCCGGCTGCGTCACCCTGGCACACCCTTTATTTTCGAGCCACGCCCTGTTGCCGCCCTCCCAGGCCCCCCCCGGTCCCAGGCCCCCAGGCCCCCGGGCCCCCGGGGCCCCCGGGCCCGGCTTGGCAGACTCCGAGCCGAGGCTTGGACGCCGAGGAGACGCCGGAGGAGGATCTGATGGCCGGGCTGCCAAGGGACACACGGCCGCGCAGTGAACAGGCGCCTTTGGTTTCACTAGCCCAAATGGGAAATGGGGTAGAAGCCATACATATGCATATATATATATTATATTATACTAGATTATATCATTATTATTATTATTATTATTTATTATTATTATTATTATTATTATTATTATTATTATTATTATTTATTATTATTATTATTATTATTATTATTATTATTATTATTATTATTATTATTATTATTATTATTATTATTATTATTATTATTATTATTTATTATTATTATTATTATTATTAATAATAATTATTTATTATTATTATTATTATTATTATTAATAATAATTATTTATTATTATTATTATTATTATTATTATTATTATTCTTATTATTATTATTATTATTATTATTATTCTTATTATTATTATTATTATTATTATTATTATTATTATTATTATTATTATTATTATTATTATTATTATTATTATTATTATTATTATTATTATTATTATTATTATTATTATTATATATATATATTATTATTATATATATATATATATATATATATATGAGGGGGGGGACCTCCCCAGCGATGGTGTTTTCCTATGCAAAACTAAGGTTTTTCAGGATTGGAACCTGTGCGCAAACGGTTCAGAAGGTAGAAAGCAAGCTGAAAGCAAGTTGCCCATCCACATCCTGTGCCACCTTCCACTTTTGATCCAGATGGACAGGACCTATCATGATTTGAAGGAGCCACAATTGAAGCTAGAGATCCTGCTGGCATTCTTCTTTCCTCATTAAATTCTATTTAGATTCTAATCAAAATTATTGAACAACTCCTTTTGGGAAAGGACCTTTAAACATCCAAATGGAAAAACCAAATCCAACTACAATCTGATTGACATCCTGTTTAACTAATAAATCATACTGGAATTCCAATTAAAACTATACATTTTACTAGAATTCTGTCCTCAGCATGCAAATTATGATTACACGGTTGACACCTCCTGATTGGGAAGGACACCCCGTTGAACATTGGAAGACTGCCATTGGCAGTCTGACTTCTCATCGAACCATCCTCTCTAAAAAGGACGTTCGATTTGAAACTTGAAATTCTGCCAGACATCTTTCCTGGCTGCGTTGAAGTTTTAGTACAAAAAAACACCAGTGGGAAAGGAGTTCCACCTCTAACATCTGACATGTTTTTATATTTGTTTGAAATCCTCTTTAAAACGGGTGCCCTATTTCAGTTCTAACTGAAGTCATAATTTCCACTAGACTTCTCCCTTGTGAAATTATAGCTAAGTTCGCCTCATCTTTCAAAAGGACAGGCTATCTAAATTCTATTTAAAGATAGGAATTATGCTGCCTTTTAAATGTTATTTAGATTAGATGAAAACGATTGAACATATCATCCTGGGAAAAGAAGCTACCTTAAAGTCTAATTTGAAAGAAGAACCCCAAATTCAACTTAATGGAAATCCGTTTAACAATCAAATCCAATGTAAGTTTTAATTGAAGCTTGACTTTCTACTAGAATGTTCATTCAACACATGAAACACATGAAAAGGTAGATCATGGGGGAGCTATATCCTTGGTTTTTGATGTTTGTTTGTTGTCAGTGTTTTTGGAAGTTTGTTCCAAACCTGATTCTGGTCAGAAAGCAGCGGCGTTGGCATCCATTTAGAAGATGACAGAGGGCATGGGTAGGCCAGACTTGGAAGCAGTGTGGCTTGAGAGTTTTGAAAACCAATCTCCTAGGGGAAATGTACTGGAACCAAAACGGCAAAACAACCTATCGAATATTGAGACCCCACAGCCAAACACATCTCGAGAAATCCAATATTCAATCTCAAAGCCGAAAAAAAAGGAAGAAGAGCATCGCGAGAGATTGAGTATTGAGACTCAAAACCAAACTCGAGAAATGAACAAAACAAAGCGCACAATCTCTCAGGGGTAATGTACTGGAACACAAATTGCAAAACTCGAAAACACGTCTAGAAATCGTATATTCAGACTCAAGACGAAACAACCTCGAGAAATATTCATCAAAGCAAAACACAATCTCTCAGGGGAATGTTTCTGTGAAGCTCACCTTTCCCCTCAGAGATGGGTTTTGGGTTTTGTTTGATTTCTCGAGTTTATTGATTTTGTTTGGTTTTGAGTCCGAATATTCGATTTCTCGATTTGGGTTTTGCCTTAAACCCGTTAAAAAGCCTGGTCGGGGTTTTTCTCCCAGCAGGAAAGTCGTCTTCCCGCTCGATGGTCAGCTTTCCATTCGGGTGCCCGCGAGCTCCGGGGAGAGCCGTCGCCAGAGCTAGTGGAATTGATGTGGTTCAGTTCCATGGCAAAAGGGGAAACCTTTGATTCACTCACTTCCTCACTTGGACTGTATACCTTTTGGTACCTTTGGGCTTGGACCCTTTGAGTGGCAAACAAACGGTTTGGGGCCATCCACTGAGTGGAAGTGAGTTAGTTTCGTTCCGGCAGATCAATCCCAAGGACACGTTGCTTTCTGGGAGTTCCCTCCTCCCCACGAGAGCCAGCACAGGCACAGGCTCTTGCCGACAGCCCTCTGGATCGCAGGGGTGCCCAGAGTCTGGGTCGTGTCGGGGGCTTTCTTACCCGGTGAAAGGTTCAAATGGGTGTAAGTTTTAGTGGGGGGCCCTGAGGTGGGACATCATTGATCAGACTGATGTCAAACACGGCTAAACAATTCTCTAACTCGTACAGGTTTTTGTTGATCCGCGGGAGTATGTTGTTTGGTGGTGGGCCCTGTGTCTACTCCTTGTGCCATCAGGTGACCGGGAGTTTGCCTACCCTGGGCTTCTTTAAACTGCAGGTTCTAGTGCTAGTCCATTGCTAAAGTGGCTGAGCCGCGTGCAGATGTACAGCTCTGCCTTCCGCGAAACATGTGGCAAAAGCAAAAAACAGTCTGTGCACGTAGACTGGGAAGCGGACAATTCATGAAACATGCGTGCGTGTTTTTGAGGGTAGCCCTTTTTGTGGTTTTTATAGGACAAACAAAAGGAACGCCGCAATTTTTGGGGTCCCCTAACAAAGACACACCCGCATGGTTGACTCAAGGCAACGGTTGCCTCCTTTGGTTCCTCTTGAATTTACGAAGCCGCCAATCAAGCAGGCGTTCACCATTTCGAGAAGCCTCCAAGGAGCGTATGATGACTGATGCCAATCCTAAGACCTCAACTGAGTCTTGGCCTTGAAGACTCCATTGCTTTTTTGGTCATGCGCGCACTGGTGGGTTGACACTGCATACGCGGAAAACGATAGGGATCAGCGCAAGCGCTGCTAGCATGACCTGCAAGCGTGCAAACCACAGGTCACTTTGCCTTTTGGGGTCATTCATGCTTTGCTCATCGAGGGGGCGCGCTTTCTCTGCTCGAAATAGCACTTGCAGACAGTTTAAGTGCGATGATCGCCTTCAAATCTCCACCAAGCTGAGGGGTCAAAGTCTTTTTCCAAGCTACCCTTTATTGTGGTTGATCGGAACCAACAGGAAAACCGAAGCCAGTTGAGGGGGTCCCCCCAAAAAAACGACCGAACCACCCAGACCCCGGCAAAGTTCTTTGGGTGTGGGGGTTGCTCGACTGATTGAGAGGTCCGGAAGCCGCTAGCAGCTGCCCCTGGCGGGGGGGGCGGGGGGGGGGGGTGCAACGCCAGGAGTTATGGCGGGGGGGCCCCCAAAAAATGGATTTCGGTGTTGCTTTTGTTTTTTTGTTTGGGCGGGTTGCCCTCAAAAAAGACGAGCCGCCCAGTTACTGTTCACGGAAGGAACACCAACAAGGGGTCCCTTTATGGGCCCCAAAGGAGATTCCGATCCTAGAAGTTTTTTTTTTTTGTGGAGTAAATTGGGGAGTTTCCTTTTGCTGCCAAGAACCATATCGAAAGAGCTTCCCTTCTCGGGGAAGTCCTGTGCGCCGCTCAGCCACTCTCTTCGTTTCTGTTTTGTTGTTTGACATGGACACCGAAATGGCGACGGCTTAACTTGTGCTGCCCCTGTACCAGCTGAAAGTGGGGGGAGTCCCCAGTGTCAGCCACGGTTTCATGTGGCAATGTGTCAAAAACCGGGGGAGAAGGGGGGGGGGGAGATTATTTTTGAACCAAGCCCAAAAAGATCCCTGAACCGCAGACACCCAGGTTGGCTGTGCAGCATAGGCCAAAAAGGGATCCCTGCTGGAGTGTCGCATGCCGGCAAGCGGGCTTAAAGCTGTTAAATATCAGCAGCAGTCGCCGCTGACTGCCCCGGGAACTACTAAGCCGTAGTAGGCATGCCAACCACCGGATGACATGCTGTGAAAGATCTAAGAGAGGGGGGCCATATGGCTGTGACGCGAAACATCCAAACACCACGTGGTCGGCTTCATATGGCTGCCAGTCACCAACGCGACATGAACCCAAAAAAGCGTCTGGTCCGCGAATTGGAAGACACTGACCCCCAACCTCCCATTCAAAAATCAGCGAGCTCAGCAGTCCCTGACACCGAATCCTTGCAAAATCTGGAAAAGAGCTTCGCTAAGGTTCATAAAATCTTATCAAGGCTTACCAAGAGTTCCTTCATATGGTTACGCAGGTTGCTTTCTGTTGGAGAGTGGATCAAGCTGGCGCCTGACGAGCAGGCTTTGGCTCCTCCTCTCACCCTTCCCTGAGAGCTTGGTGGGGCGCCTAGAGTTGCTTCCAAGTTGACCACGTGCCGATGGATGCGGGAAATTTGGCTTTGCACCAATTCCATCTGCTTACGAGTTTTGCTTTTATGATGGTTGTAAAGGGGATCTAATACTACTGGACATATTTTGTTTTTTCCCGGCGACTTTTGCAGGGGACCGGGACTTAAGCAAATGGAAGACCATCGTGCTTTCCGTTGCTAAGCATGGAAGGAGTCGTGAATGCTTTCAGTTTCTTGTCGGCATTTCAGTGTGCCATGTCTCCTGCAGATGGATGCTCGCGGCAAGTGGTGACAGGTGGATCCCAATGATGTATTCAGGTGTTTCGCGCGTAGGACTCGTGTGTGAACCTAAATCATAGAGTTGGTGGAGGGGGCATAAGTTAAACAGATAGCTTGAATTCCACTTTTTCCTCTTTCCTTTTTGTGCATGATCTGAGGATGGAGTCTTTCAAAATGCTGCTCCCCGGAACTGTGTTTTTTTTTTTTTTGGGGGGGGGTGGCCCCCCATTTCTTTAGAGATAAACACATGCATGTATGTACGCACTTTGGGGTGGGTCGACTCTCAAGAAAGGCAAATTGTCACTGACCTCGCGCAACCCTCTGCGGACTTTCGGGAGGGTGACCTACAACAACTTGTGGTTCAGCCATTCGCGAACCGCACAAGCCGCTGCATCATTTCAGAGATGGCCCAGCCTTATCCGGCACGTGCACCCCTTCATGCCAAATGCAACAACTCGTTAGGGAACATACCTCTTGTTGAAGTACTAAAAATCCTAATCAACTGCTGTCTATATTAGTCATGACCAAGCCAGGATTTCCATGGCGGCCAGCAATCTGCTTGGTCTTCTTGGGCTCAATCTGAGGTTCAGACTCATCCTGCAGTGACCCTGAAGTACTGGAAGCAGGCGGGCGGCTCATGGAGGAGTCGCCAGGGAGATGTTATTCGCCAAGCTGGCGCGCCGTCCGGTAGGCTTGCGCCTTGGAAGCCTGCAGCCCGAAACACCACCTGTCCGTTCTTCTTTTTTTTGGGGCGCTCGGGGGCGTTTTTGCATTGCACACGCATGCGGACGCATGCATACACAAAGCCGAGGGCGACTGCAAGGGGTGCCCACGTTCGCCGACTCCTATGCAAGCCTACGCCTTCCAAAATTGCCTACACGAACATGACGCATCGCTCTTTTTGTATCAACCCTTGATTCTGATGGAAAAAAAACGCTGCCAGCCTAACCGCAAAGATGTCACTGCTTGGGGACACATGTCCTTGCATGGCCCGTGGGATTCCAGTACTCAACGGAGCCTACCTCTAAAAGCAGCGTTCACCAAAGGCGCTGGGTTCCGACTGGGTTCCTATGCGTTTGGGGAAAACGCGGGACTTGTTCGAGCATGCCTCAAACTGAGGCACGACTTGGCCAAATCCCTGTGGCACAAGTCCTCAGTTTTGCTCGTCGACCACGCTGATCGCAGAGGGTCGCCCCTCAGTTTTTGCACTTCGACCACACCGATCCCTGCAGAGGCATGCGCAAATCCGAAAGCAGCAACAGTCCTCAGGTGTTGGACATCAACCCGCTCGTGGGAGATGGCTGGCGCAAGTTGCGGACATCATATCTCATGTGCGCAGTCACTTAAGATCAAGCAAAGGATTTTTAGCATTTGTTGAAACACCCCCCCTGTTTTCCGAAAGCATTGCGAACGCCCGCCATGTCCCACCAGCCCAAAAATCCAAACACATATGTCCCATTGGAGTGTGGACACCAGTGGGCTGCTGGGGGTCTCGTGGCAATCCGGGCTTCTGAGGGTCTCGTACAGATCTCGGTCTGATCTCGTTTTTCCTGCCACCGAAACAGCGACTATTGCCTGGTTTGAAACAGCTTCCGCATTGTAGGTGGAAGGATGGCACTGCAAAAGCCTTGACAGAGACACGCGGGAGAAACAGCATGGGGTGGGCTGGCATTGCATTGCTTCTGAGGCACATCCATTTGAACCTAAACTCTCCAACGACTTATGGTATCCTTTGCGTTCCATGGTTTTCATGTTCCCGCCAACGCCTTGTGGGGCTTAAACATTCGCTTTTGCGCATCCTTAGCGTTCCATTGTGCTTCAGTGTTGATGCCAGCGTTTCTTCTTTTTTGTTTCTTCTTTTTTTTGAAACACGATCAGCTCGGTGATGTGAAGCGTTCTATGGAGATTGTTGCTGGGGCATGATTTCTAGTTACTTCTTGGACTCTGCGATTACATGGGGGAACGCATGGCTGTGGGTCAAAAATAGGTACCCCAAATGGAACCCTAGTAAGTGGAAACATGGACCCAAACCTGCGGTCCCCTGGTGGTTTAATTTTGACCCACACCCACATGGCCACAGAGATAAAGGAGTGACTTAGGCATGACTTGGTCGTTGCTGTAGCACTTGCACTGCCACGCGACGTGTTTCTGTAGCGCTGTCGGCCAGCCTTGCCGCCTCGGCAGCGTCATTTTTTCTCCCTGCTATGCGAGGCGAGTTTCATAGCCCAACAATTTCACCAACTGTGAGCCCGACATCATCTCCAACATTGTCTCCAACATCGTCTCCTGTGAGCCCAACTTTGACTCCTACATTCTCTCCAACAAAGTGGCCTACTGACCACACCCACGTAGGTCTGCGCCCTGCTGTCCGGCACGCCTTCCGACGAGGGCTCCGGCCAAGCGCGGGCGCGGCGCCTGGCGGGAGGGATGTGTTGTCGTTTTGGTTGGAGGGCGCCCGCTGTTTTGCTGGCTTTAAACTTGGTGTTTCCCAAGCATCCGGTTCCTTCGCCTTGGCTACGGTTCAGTGCGGTTTTCCGTTTTTCAAAAGGGTCCTTTTTCCGCCGCCAAACCTGTGGGGAGCTCACTTTCCAAGTTCCTGGGCTTGAGTCACTTGGGTTTGGACCATTTGAGTGGCACCGAAGGTTTGGCGACTTTGGCCCCTCCACCCGGGACGCGAGAATTTTGTGCTGGCTTTGAAGGAAGCCCGTAGGACCACCGACGCCATGTTGGGGGTCCGAGCCAAATACCACGGGCCGTTGTTCTCCCGGCGGTGCCACGGCTTCAAGTGCTACGTAGCGGACCGGGGCTTATGGGAGTGTTCTTTGTGGGAGTCGTGGGGGTTCAACGCCGGCATTGGAGCCCAAAGGGGTAGAACCAGCTAGTAACATGGCCTACTCGTGGGTTAATTAAACTTACTTGACGGGCGTGGATCCATTCTGAGACAGAGGCTTGCTTGCTGGCTGGCTGGCTGGCTTTCTTTCTTGGCCATGGGGCCATGCGGCTTCCGGAGGCTCGGTTCTTTCGATCCCAGGCCGGGAGCCAGCTACTGTACCTCGCCCTCATCTCCAACAAGCTGCGCGCGCCTCGGGCGGGTGAGGAGTGCCCTAAACGGGCGGGCCCCGTCCTCCGGTGTCCTCTTGGTTTTCAGTTTGGGTTCCCATCCGGTGACGTTTTTGGGCCAATCCACCCGTTGGGAAGCTCGTTTGGTGGGGCAAACGGTTGGAGGGCTGTCGGGCCCCAATACCCGGGCTTCAACCTTGGGGGTTGAGAGGGATTTTGGAGTGTGTGGTTTCCAGAGGTGTTGATGAGCACCTGGGCATTTTCAACCTTGGGGGGTGAAAGAGATCTTCGGGTTTCGGGTGGTTTCCCTCGAAATTTCAAAAGTCCCAAGTTGGGAATGTCTCAAACAACTCGTCAGCCCAATTTGTCATCCTCAAACCGACACGGCCCATGCCCATTTTTTGGTGCCCCAAAACGCGTGGCGGGTGGTTCCGGCCGCCCTTTCCGCTTTGTCCCCCGCTGAGTTGCCGCTCGGTGCTGCTGAAGCTCCAGGAGTGCGAGTCCCAGGTCACGGAGGCGGTTTTTTTTGCCGCGGCCGGGGTGCCGGTGGTTTTTTGGGTGCTTGGTTTTGTTCATAACAGATAGAAGTATAACATAGATATTAGTGGGACATATAACAGAGAATGGGACATTGATAACATATGTATATATATATATACATGTGTGTGTGTTCCCGTCGCCCGGCGTCCCCAGCCTCCCCTCCCCCCAATAGTATGTATGGGTCCATCCAAGGTCGGGGGGGGGGGGGGAAAAAATGTAGAAAAGGCTGGTCCTAAGGGGAAAATGACAAATGTTGAGGGATTTCTTTGAGTATTGTTTTTCAACAGTTTAACCATCTTATTCGTTTTCACTACCCATGTTTCATGCCATGTTTCATTTTGTGTTTCTCGGGGTGATGTTTTATTTCGTTTTGAAAGAGGTTAGAACTTTTAGTAGTTTCATCGATTGGGGTGTTGGCGGGTCTTCTGTTTCCTATTCTTTGTTTATGTCATATTCAAAATCTGATGAGGTTTCAATGTAATCTCTTATCTCTTCCTGTGTTGTTTGCTGTTTGTATTCTTTTGTTGTTTCTTCAGTCTTTGGTGGTTTTGGATTCTGAACATTGTTGATGTGTTTTTTGGTTCTTTCGTGTTTTGCTTTCTGACTAAGTGAGACCATACACCTACAGTATTGACATTCAATTTTCCGTAGGTTGTATTCTTTACTGTGTTCTTTCTGGTATTGCTGTTTGTTTTCTTTGTTGTTTTCATAATATTCCTTCGCTTTTTGGCTTAGTGTGTCTTTATGTTTTTCTCTGTATCTCTTTTTGCTTTCGAGACATAAATTACATTGTTTCCTTTCTTCTTTGAACATTTCTAGAGGTTGAAAGACTTTACATTTTGAACACTGCTTTTTGTCAGTCATATATCCTTAAATATTAAGGGGTCTAGTCTGTAAATTTATTCAGGGGTTTTTATAGATTGAAAGTTCACTATAATTATAACATATAAGAGTATAAATGATATAATTATGGTTTAGTTATAGAATAATATGATTAAACCTGCTTTCAGTGTTTCCAGTCTCCTATGTTGTTCCAAGAGCTGCTTAAGATGTTTCTGATATTATACCAGATTAAGTTAACGTCATAATCTTTCATTGGTGCTCTTTGTTGTATTAAATAACGCAACACTGATATCAAAGTATAATAATTACAATGCATTGTTGTCATTCCTCCTCTTTCGTTAATACGATTACCATTATGTTTAACGAGTTCTTCTTTCATTATGTTTTCGTAAATCTCTTTTATCCATTGATGATTTTGTTCTCCATACTCGGTGAACATATCTAGATATATATCTTCCATTGTTTTATCGTTTTTAATTATTTCAATGACTTGTTTATATGATGGATAGGGATTATCCTTAATGAAACTCAATATTATCTTTCTATCCTGTTCCAGCTCTTTTTCTGTCACTCCTATCATTGGCATTTCACTTCTGAATATTATAAGTTAATATTTCTATAAGTCATTTTTATTGTTGGTTAGGGAACACGAAGAACCACACCCACAATTGGGAAAATCCCCCATACACAATGGGGAAAATCCACCATACACAATGGGGAAAATCCCCCATACACAATGGGGAAAATCCCCCATACACAATGAGGAAAGTCCACCACACACAATGGGGAGTAGCCTTTGTAATATTGCTTAAACCAGTCCTTATGTTTGTCTATATATTCAACTTTTTTTTAATACTGGCAGTATTGAACTGTGTTTTTTCAATACTGGCAGTATTCAGTTTCCAATACTGGCAGTATTCAGTTTCCAATACTGGCAGTATCCAGTATTCAATACTCAATACTGGCAGTATCCAGTATTCAATACTCAATACTGGCACTATTCAGGTTTCAATACTGGGTCAGGAGACACACAAATCAGTTTCAAGCTCATCACCAACGCCCCCAATTTCAAGTTTCAAGCCCAAGCCCAAACCCACCCCTTTTATCCATCCCTGTTTGTCAGAAGGTCCGGCTCCAACGACATCAAGGATGCTCATGACGCTGGTTGCTTGTAATGCTTAATCCCCCCTTCCATCAAACAAACTAACAAATATGCCTATACCACTAAATAATTCTAATAATTTCATATTATTAGAATTATTTAGATATTTATTTTATTGTGCAGTGTCGCGAAGCTCACTAGGCTATTGCTTCGCAATAGCGTAGTGTCCATACGGGATTGAATTGAAAGCATCAATATAAAACCTTTTATTCTCATAATTACTCAGAGATTGTTTAATCTGAGACATCGAATAAATCTGATGAGTGCGACTCCTGATGAAGTTGTAGGAGATTTCATGCTTTTTGTTGTGATGCAGTGCTTCATGATAGTTTTGATATGTTAATTCCTTTTTAACCTTGTGCTTGACGACACCTTTGGATTTCTTGTGTTCCTCATCCTCGCCGTGGATTGTGAAAGCATAGGATTTAGGTTTCAACCCGATGAATCTAGTAATGATTTTTCCAGTGACTTCATCTTTGTACATTCCTAAGACCTTCTTATTTGTTGTGTCATGGCATGGATGTTCAACAGGATAATCACTAAAATCCATATGTTGCTTGATACCTTGAAAATCCTTGTAGATGTCATCCGTGAAGGTTTGAATTACATAACTGTCAGTATCTGTATATATCAATTTGATATTTTCGTTGTATTTCTTTTTCAACACACCATAGTAAAACTCATACATATGTAATTTACTCAAATCCAATATTGTCATTCCTAAGAATATAGGTTTATCAAGTTTCAAGACCGACTTTGTCTTTTCCACTCCTACCAGATGTTCATTAATGATAAATCTATTTTTGAAAGTAGGATTATTCACGCATTTTTCATACCTAACATCATTATCTACCAGTTCAAAATCCATATGTTTTCTTTTGTCTTCCATAGTTTTTCCATACACCGCGTTATTCATTAATTTAAACAAATCCTTCTCAAAGTCGCTCTTCGCTTCTTTCCTTTTTGCCAGTGTTGAAGTCAATCCATGGTTTCAACCAAGCCCTCTGTTGAAATTTTATTATCCTATGAACCTTGGTGAGTTTCATACCCATTTTTTGATAATACTGTAAAGTCTTGATATGAACAACATATTTTTCTTTATCTTTCAAATTTAATATTAACTTGCTGGTTTTCTCATCCTTCGGTTCTTTGTTTCCATAGTAGATTTTGTAGATTTCCTTTTGATAGTCTGACAACATATTAGCATTGACATTCATTATTTCCGGTGCTAGTGGGTAGTCCGAATGGTAGTCGTGTAGTGTTTCTGGATATTCCAAATCCACTTCCATAATATAACCATACTCATCTTTTTCATCCCACTTTTCAATGTTAGGTGTTTTCTTTGCCCATTTGATGTTCTTTAAAGGCAATTTTTGAGACATCGCCAGACCATACAGATTGTTAGCATCTAAGTAATTTATATAACTTGACGGTTTACTTTCATCAAAGGCTTCATCCATATACTTATTGTTAGCCACAGCCAGTTTATGACTGACCTGACACATACCTCCTCTCATTCCCTTTTCAACCATCTCATACATTTCTTTATCGTGCAACTGCTCAATTTCAACACCAGTTTTCAACAACATAGCTTCCCAAGCGAAGTTAGGAAGTGTATAATAGTGTGCGGGGTCCAAACCGTAGTATTCCATACATAAGTCTCTAAAGTTTTCAAACACATCAGTCAATAATAAAGCATCGGTTCTCAAATACAAATCGTGATATTGTCCTAATGTTCTAATACCGAAGTGTTTCCAAACCTTTTGTGCCCTTTCATAATCTTTGTCATTGACATGTTCCTCACTTAATTTACTGTAGAACGCTTCTTTTGATGGTAAGTTTCTTTCAGTAAATCTGTCAACACTATCAAAATAGTCATAAGGATAAATCCCCTTGTCAGTCAACAAGTCCAAATCTTCATCGGTTTTAACATATGGATTTTTAACACTGTATCTAAAATTGTTCTTCCAGTTCTCACGCCTTTTATCATCTTCATACTTACTCAACTTTACCAACTTATCCAACGAAGACGATAAGAAGCTAAAACTGTCCTTGAAACAAAGGTTTTTAAAACCAAAGGTTATGAACTTCTCGCTGTTCTGTGCGATGCAATCGATTTTAGCATTCTTACTCAGTTGGTGTGCCTTGTTGATGATTAAGTGAGCGTCATAGTTTTTAAGGTTATGAAGGAAGACTGGTATTTTATAATATCTCATACTGAAAGCAAGATTACAATCATCATGAGCACAACCTCTATATTTACCTGTAAAATGACAATGGTCTCTAACTTTTTTTATCCCCTTCCTGAAAGCCCTTTCCACAAACGAAACACTTAGTAGCAGTGTCAAAATCTGTTTTATCGTCCTCAGTCATGATTATCTCTTTCACTTCCTTCATTTTCTTTATTACATCATCTCTGACTTCATTCATTTTCTCAACGAACTTATCCATACAATCTTCGCCTCTGTATAAATAGGGCTCACTGCTTCCAGTGATGGCATTGACTACATTAATCATAAAACCACAAGGGCGATGATTTTGATATGATGTTGTTGTCGCTTTTGTCGATTTGGGTTTAACATCAATGGGTACTGTTAGACATTCAAAGTCTGCATATATGACATAAGGCGCTTTCAGTTTCTTAAAATGATTCTTAAATTCAATCGTAGCTCCTACCTCTGGCATCTTTATTTCTTGTCCTTCAACCGCTAGACAACCCTGTTCTTCGTGTTGTTTTAATAACTCTTCTGACTTGAAACCGTGTGAGCACGTCCTACAATGATGTTTTTTCCTATTTGTCTTGTTGGTTTGGCTTCCCATCAGCTTGTTATAGTTCTTGATGTAGACATAGTGCGAGTTGGCATTTTCTCCAGTCAGCTTTATTAAATCAATCTTTTGTTGTGCTTGGGGGTTGTTGCTTCTTTTGTATAATAAAATTGTTTTACTATTGGCATCAGGATTGATGTAATAA